GCAACTAATAACCCTTCGGTTTTTAACCTGTACCCATTACAAACCCTACCCGCTCCCTTAAGTTAAAGGTCCTAAACCCTAAATCTTGTCTAGATTCCAGCCGCACCTCCTCAGATCCTCTTCCTCAATCCTCAGTTCCTCTTTTATTTTTAACCTTATATCTCACTCTCTGTCCGCAAATCCGACTTCCACGCACGGCGCTCGGCGCTCCGTCTTCCGCGCTCTGCGCTCGGCGCTCCGCCTTCCGCGCTCTGCGCTCGGCGCTCCGCCTTCCGCGTCGGGAAGTTCTCTGCAAGCGGAAAATCTGGAGGAGATTGCCACGAGGATCGAGCAGAAAGTCAAGAACTTGCTCAAACAGTTAAGCTCTCTGGATTCCAAAACCCTAATTCGAAGAGATCGTCCTTAACTCTTAACGAAAATTTGTTTTTTTTTGGGGTTAGATTTAAGCTTGTGGAAGCTCTGAAGACAGCACTTGAGGGATCGCCTACGAGCATCAAGGACGAGAGGTGTAAGGGTTGGGGTTCTTTTTTATCAGGTTTGAGAAATTAGGTTTTGGTTTTATTGAAGTGGAACCTCTGTAAATGGGATTCTGGATTTGGTTATTGTTGCAGTCGGCGAATTGGATCGTGGTTAGGGGTGCCAAACGGTTCGGATATATCCGAACCGATCCGCATCCGTATCCGAACGGATGCGGATATGGTAGGCTAATTTTAAAACCGGACGGATACGGTAACGGATACGGATATGGTTTCGGGTTTTTTTTTTCAGATACGGATTCGGTAACGGATATAAAAGTTGCGGATACGGATATCCGCAATATAATAGTGATTCGGGTAATCGGTCCCCATCTTATAGTTACAATCCCACTAACCCAAAACCAAAACTAAAAAGAAAAAACCCTACGCCCTCACCCTCAGCCCTCACTCCTCAAGCCGCCTCCACTCTCAAATCGCCCACACCTCCACGATTCTCCAGCGACGGAGCGGCGGAATTTTCCGGCGATCTCACAGCCGGCAATCTCACAGCCGGCGATCTCTTCTCCTCTACCTTCTCGCCAGCGAAGAGTCAGTGAAGACTGAGTCGCCACTCGCCTCCTCTACCTTTTCGTGTAAATTGGGTAACCATTTTTAGCTGCACCTAACTCTCAAATCAAGTTACTACAAAACTAGAAACATCAAGTTCAAGCAATGATATGGGGTGATGTTATTTTTCGTACTCTTCTGCAAATTATAAAATTCCAAATGGGCCATTTAACAAAAATCAACCGTCAATTTAATCACAAGTCGTCGTCGGCTGGATGTTTCATGAAGATTGACAAAGATATTTGTACACCATTACTAGCTAGTCACTGTTTTTTGTCTACCCGACTTTCGTCCATTTCTTGTTTTTTAAGCCAATTTAAGCCCTTGTTGACAGCGAATCCTGCTGGCTTTCTACGCAAAAAATCCGAATTTCTCATGCAAAATAAATATTAATTGTGTATCAAATAACAATATATAGTTATGATTGAGAAATGGGAGAAAATAAACCCTGTATTGTAATAAGTTGTAGCTGCAGTTATGTCGAATATCCGTTTATATCCGTGATCATATCCGATCCGATTCTTAAATATCCGAACCGTATCAGTTTCCGATAAATGTGGATATGGTTAATGTTTTTTCTTACCGAGGGTGATCCGTATCCGTATCCGTTTATAAAAAGCGGATATGGATATGGTAAACGTCATATGCGAACCGTATCCGCTCCGATAACACCCCTATTCGTGGTGCATCAGGTGATGATGGCAATAAAGGATGTGGATGGGATGTTCTCGACCTTGGATCCGGAGTACTATGACATTCTCATGAAGTAAGATTCATTTCTGTATCCGGTGATTGTTTTTTTATTTGATGACCAGGTTATTGGAAAGTCCCTTGTTTTGGATGAAATTATCAATTATGTGCAATCCTTGCAAAACCAAGTTGAGGTAAACAAAAAATCATGCAAATGTTGCTTCCTTTTTCATATGAAGTAGGTTATTTTTTTGACATTATGAAGTAGTTTGCATTGAATTGGATTGAATTGGTTAGAACCGAACAACCGAACCGCACCGAACCGACTTGCAACAGTTCGGTTCGGTTGTTCAAATTTTGATAAAAACCGAAACGAACCGACTGTTTGCACAACCCTACCAGTAAGCCTATTATTGGGCTTGGATATCTATCGGTTTTTCATATATAATCAAAAACCTTGAACCCCTCTCCCTCATTCGCCACCCCTGAGTTCCTCTCGTTCTCCAGTCCTTCGATTCCCCCCCCTTAATTTTTGCATCGATTTTCTTTGCTAACGAATGGATTGCGATCAAAGGGACCGCGAGCAGGAAAAGTTAATATTAGACGCGATAGACAAACCAACTTCTATTTTTAAAGAATTTATGTCGAGGTAATTCTTTGTTTGTTTTTCTTTAATCATTCGATGAACTTTTTTATTTCTTTGCATATTTATTGTTTGATTACATTTGCTTGTATAAAAAGAATGTCAATTTAATGAGTTTTTTGCCCCTAAATCAAATAGAAATTTACTGCTAATTCTTTCCCCCCCTTGTTTTTGGAAAAGAGATATTGGTAATCAACCACTGAGAGCATGTTAAAGATCTTTATTTGTTTTGCCTTTTCTTCTCTCTCACTTGATCAGCTGGAGTTGGAGGAATTACTGTTCACAAGTCTAGTGCTGGAAGCTAATGTAAAGGTTCATACTTTATCTCAAAAAGACAAAAAAAGAGATATTTAAAATGGTGTACTCGATCTTTCATATCTCCAATATGGTATGACGTATAAAAATTCCTCCAACTCCAACTGATCAAGTGAGAGAGAAAAGAAAGATAAAACAAATAAAAAAGCGATATTTAACATGCTCCTAGTGGTTGCTTACTAATACATCTTTCCCAAAAACAAGGGGGGAAAAGAATCAGCAGTAACTTTCTATTTGATGTAGGGGCAAAAAAAAGTCACTAAATTGACATTCCTTTTATACAAGCAAATGTAATCAAACAATAAATATGCAAAGAAATACAAAAGTTCATCAAATGGTTTAAGAAAAACAAACATAGAATTACCTCAACATAAATTCTTTAAAAATAGAAGTTGTTTTGTCTGCCGAGTCCAATATTAACTTTTCCTGCTCGCGGTCCCTTTGATCGCAATCCATTCGTTAGCAAAGAAAATCGATGCAAAAATTAAGGAAAAAAAATCGAAGAACTGGAGGAGGGGAACTGAGGGGTGGCGAATAAGGGAGAGGGGCTCAAGGTTTTGGATTATATATGAAAAGCCGATAGATATCCAAGCCCAATAATAAGCCTACTGGATCCAAGTTCGGAATCAGATATGTTCGAATAGCAGCCTAAGTTGCTTAACTGGGCCAACCCAATGTACTTCTAGTGAAAACAAAACTGAATTTGATGATATTGTTTTAATTTTTCGATTTGAGATTATTATGAAGGTAGGTCCGAAATGATTTATTTTTATTTGGCGATTGATATCCCCTTTTCTCTGACGTAAAAAGTAAAAAGAAGCCATAAGGAGCAAAACATAAATTCAATTTCACTCCTTTGCACATATCAGATATTATCTTTCTTCAACATAAATGTGTACTATATAAATACATGGGTTAATTTCACAAACCTCATTGATCTTTGGGCAGTGTTGCATGTAATATTTCTGAATTTCGTTTATCTCACATAGCCCTCCTAAACTATGGAGTGTCTTACAAACGCCCCTGATCTTTAACTTAGGCCGCTATTCGAACATATCCGACTCCGAACTTGGATCCAGTAGGCTTATTATTGGGCTTTGATATCTATCGGCTTTTCATATATAATCCAAAACCTTGAGCCCCTCTCACTTATTCGCCACCCCTGAGTTCCCCTCCTTCTCCAGTTCTTCGATTTTTTCCCTTAATTTTTGCATCGATTTTCTTTGCTAACGAATGGATTGCGATCAAAGGGACCGCGAGCAGGAAAAGTTAATATTGGACTCGACAGACAAAACAACTTCTATTTTTAAAGAATTTATGTTGAGGTAATTCGTTGTTTGTTTTTCTTTAACCATTCCATGAAATTTTGTATTTCTTTGCATATTTATTGTTTGATTACATTTGTTTGTATAAAAAGAATGTCAATTTAGTGAGTTTTTTCCCCCCTACATCAAATAGAAAGTTACTGTTAATTCTTTTTCCCCCCTTGTTTTTTGGGAAAGAGGTATTAGTAAGCAGCCACTGGGAGCATGTTAAAGATCGCTTTTTTATTTGTTTTGCCTTTTCTTTTCTCTCTCACTTGATCAGCTGGAGTTGGAGAAATTTTTATACGTCATAAAGTCTTCCTCTGATCAATGTTATGATTGCAGATAATTGAAACGAACGGTTGAATCAAAACTCACCTAGTTCTTGACAAAAGTTATTAAGAAACTGGTGTGCTATGTCAACCAGCTCGTCAAACTTTGCAACCCTGAAAAACAAAGCTAAAAGACTTATTAATTTGTACTGAATGTAACCTTAGCATTAGCAACTAAACTACAAGTTGAATATAACCTTAGCATTAGCAACCGAATGTTTCCATGTGATGCTTTTCCCGTATGTATAGCGGCTTGTAGGTTGTCTACTCATTAATTTTTACTGATTTTGGGTATCATTACCCAGGGTGTTGCTGCTCCATTGCCTTGCTCATAATTATGATCTTTTATCAGTAATTTAACGTATTCATCACAGGTTGATTCGTTAGTAGAGCTGCCTTTTCAACTAGGTTAAATTGCCATACTCATTATTATTAGTGTACAACTCCATGTTTGCTCTGTCTTTCTTTTATTTTCCCCCATTTTGATAGTTTTCTTGAGGTATCATATAGATTGTTGATTGTACTTTCTATAAGATTGCTGTATCACCTTCATTTATGTTGGCTGGTTTTGTGGGTTGTGAAAAATAGCTATGATATCCAATCTCAATGAGTTTCAAGTGGACCGTTTCATAATAAGTAATTAATTGAATTCTCTAGATAATACTATTCCATGGGTGGATCTCTGTCATGGTGGATGAGACATCTGATGTGTGTGGCATATGTTTTTTTAATGATTATTTTTCATCTAATAATATGGATGTACATGAATGCTTCGACACAGATATGATTGAGATGTACATGGCCACAATATTTTCTCTAAAGTAACAATGTGCTGAAAAAAGTGTTGACCTTTGAAAAATATTCTTCATTGTGAAATGACATAACTTCACGAAAGAGGTATCCATTTTACATGTACTATTCTTCCATTTTATGAGTAAGTCTTTTAGCTTTGTTTTTCAGGGTTGCAAAGTTTGACGAGCTGGTTGACATAGCACACCAGTATCTTAATAACTTTTGTCAAGAACTAGGTGAGCTTTGATTCAACTGTTTGTTTCAATTATCTTCAATTATAACATTGATCAGAGGAAGACTTGACGTATAAATTTTTTGTAAAGTATTCATTCAGTAAGATCTTCCTAGAAAGTTATAATACTCATGTGCTAGGATTCTTTCTGCCTTTTACTTTTTCTGTTCTCCCATGTTTTTTTAACCAAATCAAGCATGAGACTTCATTTTGCTGTTTCGCTTACTGTTCTGGTGTGTCTAGGATTCTTTCTAGCAAAATTTATCCTCTTTATACTCCATTATTATTATTCTCACGATTCTAGACTGTCTTTTATATATTGAAAATTGTTTCTTTTTCCTGCAGAAAAATATAAAAGACCTCAGGTTCACAAGACATCTCCATTGGTTGATCACATAATAGAAGCCAATCAAACAAATAGAATGAAGGTATATATTGAAGCTGGATCTAGACACCGGTATGATGACATAAAAAATATAAGCATGTGTAAGTTGCCATAACTTTTTTCTTATGGAGTTATTCTTAATATGCAAACATATGTACTTATCCTTCAAAGAAGATGCTCTGACAGCACAGTAATGCAAATCCTTATTCAGAATTGTTTTTTACTCATTTAGTTTTGGACAATATGTTGCATTTATGACAGTAATGCAAATCCTTATTCAGAATTGTTTTTTACTCATTTAGTTTTGGACAATATGTTGCATTTATGTTCTTTTTATTTGATTTGGAAGCGAATTGTTTTTTACTCATTTAGTTTTGGACAATATGTTGCATTTATGTTCTTTTTATTTGATTTGGAAGCGTTACCTGATTTTTGTCTTCATTGTGTTATACGCGTGCCTGTTGAAGTATATTCATGCACACAACGGCTTCAAGAGCATCTAACAGAAGGTGAATATATCTGTTATTATATGTTAATCAGATAACTTTAGATGTGATACATGGATGCTAGGTGTGTCGTGCTAAGCCTAGTGCTAATTCAAAGTATTTAATTAAACCATTTACGTCTTTATGTTATTTTGTAGAAGATGAGAATAAAGCAGAGCCAGTACTTTGATATAATTTTCTATTAATGATAATATTTCTTAGTTCATAAATCTTTATATGCAACTGTGAAACTATATATAATCATGGTCATCTTATTCCCTTTCAAATTATCTATTTACTATATAATGCTATTGTAGATAATCATGAATTTGATAGCTAGGATAGTTTAGTAATTAGTACTAGAACCTGGTTTATGAGCATTCTTATATGTATGGGGGATAGTTGATGATAAAAAAGAAAAGAAAATTGAAAGTTTGAATATCTTCTTGCGGTACATAAAAAACAAATGTTTTATAGAATGGTTTGTCATCCTTGGTATTTCACAGTTTTAGGCTCTTTAGTAGTTTCTAATTCATAATTCATAGCACAAGGCCTTAAATACCATTTTGTTTTGGATGTTAAGTATATGGTTACCTGGTCAGATATTCCCTGTCTATATAATGGTAATCAAACTGACATGTTTGTCGTTCTTTTCCTCTTTTTTCTGTTCCAGTGAAAGTTCTGCTTCATGAGCTCGAATCCCTTAAGGAAGATGCAATTGATATTGCACAGAGAGTAAACCGAAGTACTACGCAATTTTTAGACATGCATATCAGTGACAAGGAAAGGCTTTCCTTTGAAGAGGTATGCTCAAGCAACTATCCCAAAAGTCGCTAATTTTTTGGACCTTGAGATTATTATCAACTATATTTACATAATGTATTTCTCTTCATTTTTGTTGTACAAAGAGATATTAAGAGTCAAAGTTTTATGTAAATACTCTGTGTAGCTGTCATCTAAATCTTCCAAAAATCACAAAAGTTTTTGCCAGTTTATGTTCTACATTTTATTTTAGCCCTGACTAGTCACCTATTGGAGAGGATTGATATTGGTGTTTTCCCCCTTCTGATTTCTATCAATCCCCCTAATCCTTTACAGGAAGACATGGTAGAATCGTTGCACCTTCAAGACAAATCGACATCTCATGCGACTTTGATGGCAGTCATATATAATATGTTTAGGCTAGACTATGCCATGCAGGTATAATGGGTTTGTAATATATTTCTGGTTTCAACGTAATACACTGGAGAGAAAAGGAACATGTTTCTTGTATCTGATGTTCATACATCTTGCAGGAGAAGATCATCAATTCTATTAATTTGGTGGATACGAAATCAGAACAGTTGGAAAGCTACTGTTTCATGTGGAAGCTACGGCCATATATAAATGACGATGTCATGCGTCAGGGTTGGAAACTTGTTCCTTGATGATGGTTGGCTATTTATTCGCTAAGGAAGCTGGTATCCAAAGTGGATGTGCCCATCCAGCTGCTAACTGAATGAAAGGGCTCTTCCTCTCAGTCCGGTTCCTCAGTGAAAGCACTCCTACATTTTGTTTCATTTTGTATGATATCAGTTGTATCCTGTAATTTGTGTCGACACATAAAGATTTTGGTTTGTACTGTGTATGTATAATGGTTACTTTATTCTGTTTAGAAAAAATAAGATATCAGTGCAATTATTCATACCCTAAAGGTGTTTTATTCTTTGTTCTCAGTTGATATCTGAACTAATGTTACTATAGTATGTATTTTCTGTTGTTAAAGACATACGGTGTTCGTCATCAATATCATCACCGAATATATTAGGGAAGAGTTTATTTGCTTAGGGGAATAAATCGTCTGGATGTGCGTGTAGTTGCCGAGAGATTTCCTTGAAAACATCTACATCTGTTTCTGTTGAGTTGTCCTACTTTGTTGGTATCTCACGCTCTTTTAGCCTTCGGCTGACAAAATCGTAGCTTAAGTCTCTTGACTCAAGAAAACCACATGCTATCGTGAACATAAGAATTCAATGGTATGATTCCATGCTGTGACAAAACTACCTGCACGCTCACTCACGCAAAAACCACGGCCTTCCTTGTACACATTTCCTATTGCGTTCCTTGTATATGTTTCCTTTTTCGTTCTTAGTAATATATATGATCTTTGGGCTCTCTCTAAGGGTCCGTTTGGATAATGAAAGTATTAGAAGTAAGAAGTAGGTTATAGAAGTAACTTTCAAAGCTATGAAGTAGGAAGCAGTGGAAATAACATTTTTTTGTATGTTTCATATATTTTTAGAAGTAATAGAAGTAGAACTTCTTCCTCTTCATTTACTTTTTTTGTTTGGATAACATTTAGAAATATTACTAAGAAGTAATTTTATCATTGAAAAGCTGTTAGAAGTAACTAATAAAGGAAATATTAATAAAAAAAAAATATTTATGTCTAATTAATATGCATTTCAACTACTTCCGAGCTACTTCTGAGTATTGAGGATTGGAAAAATATTTTGGAAGTAAGGATGACACGTAGGCGTCACATAAGCATTTAGGGAAGTATTGGAAGTAAGTTTTTCAGAGAACCAAACACATTTTTTTTGCTTGGAAGTAGCAGAAGTAGCTTTTACTTCTTTTACTTCAACTACTTCACAATTACTTCCGTGCAAACAAACAGGCCCTAAGACACAATCAGAGCAATAATATAACAATCGTCTAGGAACACTGGCGGCAAATAGAAAACAGATTCACGATATACCTTCATGCATCAATGGCGTAAGTCAGGGCCTAAATGATGAGCGGCGGAGTTATAGCTTGAAGCATCTACTCATTATCTGGCAACATCTGCGTGTGGACATACATACAAGTTTTAATTTGAAATATACACTCATCATCCAGCAGCAACATTTGTACACGTAGACGTACGGGAGTTATAATTTGAAATATCCGCTCGTCATCCAGCAACATTTCTTGTTGTCAGGAGCATTTGTGGAACAACAAACAGAGAGCCCTGTGGCTTATATCCATTGTAACTTGCAAGCACAGACCATATAGTTTAGCTCCAGGAACACATTCCCCATGAGCATACGCAGTTCTAATATTCAACAAAACTACTTAAAAAACTCGCAAAAGACATACCTCACGTAGCCCAATTAAAGTTCCAACCTTGATCTTCAAAACAATCTTTGGACTTGATTTTTGCAAGCAACTTCCTTTTGTATTTGAAAAGTAAACATAATGATCGCGACAACAAAGAAGATCCTCAATCCTTCATGCCAAGTTACTGAAGGCCTACATATGCTAAGTCACGAACATGTATCACATTTAAAGATTGTTACAGCAAATTGTCTGAAGAACATACAACAGCAATTGAAGCCAGCTCAGTTCAAACTTCATATTCAACCTTGATCTGAAAAACTAAATATACAATCAAGATTACAAACCAGTTCTTATCGCGATGATACAAGTCATGCCCACTGCTTCTTGGTAGCCTCCATCCTCTGAAGCAAACTTGCAATCTCCGCTTGCATTCTCACTTTCATGTTTTGGTAGTCACAGTGCGAGTTCTCAAGGAACTTGAGCTCCTCAAGTTTCTTCCTCCGCCTCTCCTCAGCCTCTTGAAGGCAAAGCTTGGCAAGCTTGGCAGCGTACTCTTCCTCAAGCTTCTCTGCCTTGGCTTTAGCAATCCTACGATAGCCCTCAACTTCTTTACGAGCATCATCAGCGAGCCTCTGGAAGAGCTTGGCTTCCTCCTCTTTGAATCTTACAAGACTCTCCAAGCTTTGGAATCCCGCATCATCCTCTTTTGGAGGTGGCCGGACAAAGTGTGATTCCATGGCAAGAGGGGTGGGCTTTGGTTTTGGATCTGGGATCCTATGGGGTTTGAGTGCATCGATTTGGGTTTCGATGATGGATGTGGTGGGTTTTGTTAGGTTGAATGCAGGTTTTGGAGGCAGGATCGAGACTGGCTGAGGAGCGAGAGGTAGAGTGTCCATGAGGGGACTTGGTTGGGCCGAGAGTATGTTCTTGGAGGAGCTGCCTGTGACAGAGAGATCTGAACTGCCATCTGCAACAATAAAGGTAATGAACAATTAGAAATGATTCATAAAACTTCTTATAGAGTACACCAATACAACAGACTCCCAAACACAACTGATTACTGTGTTGTACTGGAAACCAAATGAAAGATATAAGACTCTTGCTCTCAAGAATCTTTCGGCCATCTTTAAGATTGCACTTCCCTCTGTGGAATAAGCACCAAACAATATGAGAATTCTCATGTGACTGTTGATTTTCAAGTAACAAAAAATACTTGACTGCGTTATCCAAGGCATATGGAGTATCCTTTATCATCATGGTCATTCTTTTCACCTTATATAAGAAATGGGTTCTCCGACATGCCCATGTGTCCATGAAGAACTTCATGTTGTCAAGGATGTATGTTTCACAACAGAAGAGGTAAGACAAGAATGGCAAGCTAAAAAGTTAGATGATGTAGATGTAATTTCATCCATCAATTTTCAGCACCTAGGAGGATTTACAGTGAGAACTATACTGATGGAAAGAAGATTCAGTACAAGTTAGAAAGGTTAAGGGCTAATCAGGCCATGGATGGAGAATAATTTCAAATTGGAAAGATGTAGTACCGATATACAAGGCATTTGAAAGAGGATACCCTTCAGAAATGGTATAAGGCTGTGCAAATGTCGGCTATAAGCAAGATTATGCCCATAAAGAGATACCTAATGAAATTAGGTATAACTTGTACATATAAGAGACAGTAAATATGGCGTCTTGTGCAAGAGATGAACTTACAGCCAGTACAATTTCTGCACTCAGCTGATATTTGTCCACAATTTGGCCTTGGACTCCACATTTATACTGTTTCAAATCAGTACTTAACACTCAGGTTGGTCCCATCGATGAAGCATGGGCAATTCTATCATGAAGATGTACCTGTGCCCCACACTGTATCCATATCGGACACCAGCACTTCTTTGGACATGTAGATACAATTCTTGGACATCTATCCTACACGTCATATACACTTCCTTGCTCAGGGGTTTTCATAGAAACTCCCTTAAAAATAGGGTAATTCTACGTGAACCACCTTTGACTTTCAATTTAAACATAAACCACATCCCACTCAAAATTTCACTAAAAAATTAAAAACATTCTTAAAAAATTCACGTTCAAGATACATGACTTATATCTTAACCAGATCTAAACATTAACAAAATGAGTTATGTGCCTCGAATGTGAGTTTTTTAAGAGTTTTTTTGGTTTTTAGTAAAAAATTTGATTGAGAGGTGGTTACCATCACAAACCCACTTTAAAAATGGTTTGTGTATGAATTGAAATTTAAAGGTGGTTCCTATAGAATTACCATGTTTTAAGGTGGTTTCTAGGAAAAAACCCTTACTCAAATTACATGTTTTGACGCCTTTTTTCATGTTTCTTGTATTTGATACAGTTGCAGTGTAGGATATGTACATGCACTCATTTGGAGGCATGCCCATTCACATTTAAATGCCTTTGACGACTTTTCATGTTTCTCTTTTCTTCAATAACAAAATGAAGATTAATTAATTAACTGAGGTCTGATCATACAAATAAACACATGGATTCAAGCTCCAGGGTACCTAAAATATAGAATATAAATAGTTTACACAAGTATAGACAACAGTGGGAAGCTTCTGTCAAGGCTGTCAGGCAACAAAGAAAAACATAATTGTATCAAACTTATAACATATTCTTGTGCCACTAATAATGATTTTTCCATGTAAATAAGAAACAAAAAGGCAGTAAATTTGAAGAATTATAAAGAAAGGCCCACAAAGCAATATGGAGAAATATAAATTAACTAATTCAAAGAAGAAAAAGAGACATGCAATATGTTCATCAACAAACATAATATAAAAAGAGCCATACCACTGTCAAAAATCAAAACTAATAAGCAAAGACAAGTACTATAAGATTTGAGTCAGGGGACAAATATCCCTCAAAGTTTTATGATGGGGTGTTGAATCCTAGTATATACATCAATAGAGCTGTCATTTGAAACAAATGCAAAGAACAGTTTAGGGACTCACACTTGAAGAACTGCAGCATGCCACTGCAAGCATCTGCTGGAGAAACTTGCTTCTTGCTAAGCTTGGTGAGCATTTCCTGTG